TTTCAAATTACCTCATTAGTGACTGACTGAGTGTGTGTGTGTGTTTGTTTGTGTGTGTGTGTGTGTGTGTGTGGTAATTAGTTTTGAGGGACTAGGAGAATGAAGATTACATAACTGCTGCCATATTTTGTGCTCATTACTTGGCTTGTTTATTAACCAAGTTGACCCCTTGTTGCTTAGGTCAGAAAAATTATTTAAAAAAAAAAAGCTTTTTTAAAGTGTTTCTGGCAACAACGGCGATGGGAAAACTTGTTTCTACTTCACCCTTTAACTCAAAAATTAAATTGAACACCTAAAGCAACATGTTGAGCTTTTAACATAATAGTCTTTCAAATAAAAAGAGCGATCTGTGTAGCTGTTTACCCATTAACAGCCCATTGACGTAATGAATTATCCAATCACAAACATCTCATTTAAATAAAGAGAAGCTTTCTGTGTTCTTTCATAATTCAGGCGTCCGGAGCAAATGAAGCTAAAAGAAGCAGTAAATGGGATGTGTGAGCTTCATTTATATATTTGCATATGAATGAAGACAATCATGAGCTCTGGCTGTTTGCTGTTTGTTTTTTCATTATTAAGTTCTAAATAAGTTGTAAAGCATATTGGTCCAAATGTTTCCGGAACCAATTACTGTTGAATACATTTAAAAACAACCAGCTATCTGTGGATAGTACATGGATGATAATCACAATGTTCTGTTTCTCTGTGATAAAGGCTTGGAATCCCTGTCTGGTAATGAACGCATCCATATGCTAATGGCACATAATGTTCTCATGCTGTTTTTCTCAGAAAGGCCAGGATTTTTTTTTTTATTTACCCACTTTGTGATGTTTCCAGATATTTTGAGGTGTCCAAGTGACCTCCTCACACTGAACACATAAAAATACAAACAGCTTTTTTTGCTTTTTTGAAGGAAACTGTTGGTAGATGATGTGACTCATATCACATAATTTCATAATGTTGCCTGAGATTTATACCCATGCATTCACCCAAGGACTATCAATAGGAAATATTCTTTACATGTTTTCATGTTTGTTTATATCACCACAAAAACATTTATGATGTAACAGTAACTGTGGCAGCTATATGACAGCTTTCACAGGATTCTACCTGTCAGTGGGCTGTAAACCGTAAACTGTACTATATTTACATTACCATTTAATAAGATTTAAGATGCAAGATAATAAGATTAAGATTTTTAAAATGTTTTTGAAAGAAGTCTTTTATTCTTATCAAGGCTGCATTTATTTGATCCATAATATTGTAAAAACAGTAATATTGTGAAATATTATTACAATTAAAACAAGTTTCCTATTTTAATATATTTGAAAATATTATGTATTCCTGTGATGGCAAAGCTGAATTTTCAGCAGTCATTACTCCAGTCCTCAGTGTCGCATGATCCTTCAGAAATCATTATGCTGATTTGCTGATTATCAATAATGAAAGCAGTTGTGCTGTAAATATAATATAATATTTTATAATATTTGTTTTTATATTTTATCACATTTGTGGAAACATTTTTTTCCAGGATTCTTTGATGAATAGAAAGTTTAAAAGAACAGAATTTATTTGAAAAATAAATATTTTGTAACATTATACATGTCTTTACTGTGACTTTAGATCAATTGAATGCATCCTTGCTGAATAAAAGTAATATTCCTTTTAAAAAAAACTGAAAATATGATCGGTTTATCATCTTTACTGTTTGTAGTTTAAGGTTCTGTGTTTGAAATGTTCAGTTTGAGTACTTAACACTCTTCAATCTGTAAGGAGTTTGTATTTAATGTAAGACATAAATTATTAATTTAGAAGTTCTTTCATGAAATTAACTACAGTTTTTAGAAGGTTTGTTATTTAAAAACCTTGGTGGCTAGCTGTTTCTCTGTTTAAATACAACTAAATGAAGCTGTGTGATTAAGGTGACATTCTGATTTAAATTAAGAGCCACTAATGTGAAGCACATCTTCTTATTGCTTACTTTAGGTGCTTCAGTGTCAGTAGGGCACAGTGATGCTCACTTTCAAATGAGTTTCACATGGTTCCTGAATGACGCACAACTGTAACAGCATACATACAGAAGCTCACACAACCTTATGTAAGTGCTCTCATAAGTGCACATGTGTAACCGACACTATGTGAGTTGACACATGCTATTTGACAGTCTCTTAGCTTCGCTGAAGTACGCACTTTCTTGTGATTCTGCTTTTAAACTGTCGTCTTTGCAGCAAATGAGCTGGAAAAGATGGTGCGTCTGCTCAGCAGCTCATAACCCTGGGCCAATCAAGACATTTGCTGGACAGCCAGTGATAAAGGTGCTTTTTCAAGCAATCTATCAAGATGGTTTAATTGCTGAAATGTGGCCTATTTATTCAGAAGTTTGCAGCTTGCTGAAGTGGAAAACATTTGTCCTGGCTTTCTGTCTGGGCTGGTATCCTAGTTACCGATGGTCTGTCTTTGCGGGAAGCTGAGTAAACATCATGTTTTTCATTCATGGGAAACCTTCACCCACACAAGCTGTAGCTTTATTTAAAGGGGTCATATGATGCTGCTAAAAATAACATTATTTTGTGTATTAGGTGTAATGAAATGTGTTTATGTGGTTTAAAGTTAAAAAAACATTATTTTTTGAAATCGCATCATATGACCCCTTTAAGTTTCCAAGCAGGAGGTGTGTGCATAAGCAACTGCATGTTAATTTATTATTTATAAGTATCTGAAATGGAGTGGGGGAAAAAATGAACAAAATCACATTGCAAAAGCAGTGTTAAAGTTCTAACTGGAAATTTTTTTTAATTTATTTGGTGCATTTCATGCTGGAACAAGTGTATAAAAATCCATACTGAATTTCATTAATGATTTGTAACGTCTCTTGAGTAGGAATCGTTGGTCCAAAAATATTCACACCTGCACAACCACATACACAGATTAGTATTCCACAACTCTGCCAAACATCTCAATGATAGATGAGCTCTTTTTTACGCATGTACTTTGGCTCCAAAGTTTCAACTCATAGTTCCAACATCATGTGCAAAAACTGCATAACTCACATTATTAACAAAAAAAAAAAAGTGGTGAAATATCCCACAAAAAATTTGCATTCTCTGCTTATTGCAAATATAATGGGAGATTGTTTTGTAACAAAGGAAGAAAAAAATTATATGTTTTTAAATTGAAATATTCTGTTTTTGCACTAGAGCAGCTGGTTTTATACTTTGTAGTTCTCATCCAAAGTGTAGCCAAAGCACATTGGTCATTTTTCCACTTGTACCACATTTGTTCTTGATATACAAAGTTTCCTAAACTGACATCTAACACAGTTGAAACTGGTCCCAAAGTTTAAATTTGGCCTTTTTACAGCTGCTTTTGCAACATCTTTTGAGAGCAAATTGTGTGTGCTCGAAGACCGTTGTGCTGTTTTTTTGTTTTTTTTTGCCCCCTTTCCAGCACCAAACCAAATATTGACCAGGAACAATTTAGTGGTGATAATGTCCCTATCTGTTCTGTCCCCATCCATTCCGCAGTGGCCCACAAATCATTTGTTCATCTCGGACCTAATCGCTTCCATAGCAAGCTCTTTTATTGCACATGCCGGAATTTTGAGAAATATTTGACAATATTTGGCCGAGATACAACTATTTGAAAATCTGTAATCTGAGGGTGCAAAAAAATTTAAAACAAAGAGTGAAAAATTTAAGGGGGTCTGAATACTTTCCGTACCCACTGTATTTTTGGCTATTGCTACAAATATACCCAAGCGACTTAAGACTGGTTTTGTGGTCCAGGGTCACAAATGAGATTTGAAATAAATGAGGACTTAGAATGGCTGAAAGATGTTATAATAAATAATTTTTCTTTAATTGGCTAATATAAAAATTATGTACAATTAAAATAAATTGAATCTGTATAAATTAAAAATAAAACACAAACTAAAATCAGTCATTGTAAATGCTACTGGTGAATTTAGGTATATACTTGTAATGATATACATTATTATAAGTATAAAAATAGATATTCATTCTGAGATTTGCTAAAGATTCGATTTAACGATGTTATTGAATTATTAGTGTTTTTCAAGATTAACTTTAAGTGAGCATTAGATGATGGCAAATGTAATCTAAATGTAAAAATAGGAAAATTTTGTATGCACAATTAAATATCCAATAATTCTGAATTTCTTTGTTATCGATAACCATAATCGTACCAATATATTGTGCATTATACGTATACTGTGGGTTTTGTCCCTTTTGGAACTTGACAGTCTGTCTAGTTGTTTTAGAAGAATTATGTACTGATATTTAACATTCTAAAGTGATTTTAAAATAGCTTTGAATTTGAACTCACACACTTGAGCCACTGGAAATCCCTTCCCCACACGATCAGTCCTGACCAGCATCACTGTGGGTGCAGTTTTGTAGCTCAGCAGCTGTGGGACAGAGGAAATACATCTTGTTGTCACTAGATGCGGGCTGGATGAAGGAGAATGGGGAAAAATGGGTGTGTGGGGGATCCTCAGCAGAAACGTTTCTTCAAAGTAAATTTGATTTTTTTAACAGCCCTCTCCATCCCCAAAGCCGCTATTAATTTAACCTAGATTTACTTTTACTGTTACAATTTAGAAAGGGATCAACTAGAAACACTGTCATAGAAAATTTTGATACCTTTAGCGGATTTCTTGCCACGTGCAAGCTCTGCTGATTTATACTGCATTTAGGAAAGGAGCGAAGAAATAGAGGATGAGAAAATCAATTGCACCCTCCAAGGCTTATTTATGGCTGCGCAAAAGCAGAGGACGGAGAGGACTGCTGGTAAACTTGGCACCAGAGGAGCTCAACTGCAGAGGACAGAGCTGACAATGTGCCAAAAGATAACATACATACAGTATATAAAAAGAATAATTGATGTGTTTGTTTGTTATTTAAATAATAATATATACCTGCTTTTCATACTGTTTATTCATGTTATAACCCGTTCATTTTTCTCTTCCCTTCCTGATTCAGATCCAAGCAGAGGACCTCATTTTACGGGCTGCCGCTCCAGAGAGCAGGAGACCTTCCGTTGTTGGTGGAGCGCTGGGACCTTCCAGAACCTCACCGAGCCTGGAGCCCTCAGGGTCTTCTACCAGACAAAAAAGTAAGGGACAAACACTGAAAGACACCAACTACTTTAAGGTTTCAAAAAGACAGGTTGGAGGAGGATACATTTCATTTAATAAACAAAAGCCATCCCTCCTGCCAAGATGCAGACCTTGTAGTGTCACATGTGCAGATAAAGGGAAGGCAAAATGGAGAGATTAAAGTTACTCAGGAGCATGAGAAGACACATAGTTTAAACATTGTGATTAATGAATTAAACGTATTACATTCTTAAACAGGATCCAGGGTATCGAAGATGACAAATCAGTCAATTTTTTAAAATAATATGATAATAATAAAAAAAAAAAGATATAATATATTTTAAAACTTTATACTACCTACCAGTCAAAAATGTGGAACCATGAAGAGTTTTTAATATTTTTTAAAGAAGTCTGTTTTGCTCAAGAAACATTTTTTAATGTTATCTATGTTGAAAACATTGTTTCTTGAGCAGCAAATCAGCATATTAGAATGATTTCTGAAGACTGGCGTAATGGCTGCAATTTAAAATACTGTATATCAAAAAATGAAACAGTTCTTTCAAATTGTCAAGTTCTTCACAATAGTATTGTTTTTACTGTATTTTTGACCAAATAAATGCAGCCTATATTGATAAATTTTCATAATTTTTTATTAAATTGTGTGTCATTTAGTGGACCATGAACATTTTAAGTTAAAATATTATATTAATTTATAATAATTATCTCTTGGTGTAAAAAAAATTAATTGCTAAAAGTACAACTATTGACTTTAATTGACTTTTAATTACTTTTTAATTGAGGTCATAAAAATGGCATGCATAATAATTATAAAATAATGATCAAATACTGTTTAAAATGGTTTTAGATAGAGTATAGCATGTTTCGCCGGATTGTATGATTTAATGTTTTCATCTTCATTTATAAGTATTTCAAGTCAACTACCCAAATATTTACTAATAAATCCATGTAGTGCAATGTACTGAGGTGTTTTGTTTCATATTGTTTTCTTTATTGACTGGCATCTAGTGCCCTTTCTGAGTGGCAGGAGTGTCCAGACTACACGCATACTGTGGAAAACGAGTGTTACTTCAACAAGTCCTACACATACATCTGGACCTCGTACTGCATCCAGCTGCGCTCAGTTCCTCAGAACATAACCTATGATGAGGCCTGCTTTACAGTGGAGAACATAGGTGAGTTAATAGCTATGGAACTGCTCCATGAAGGATAGGAAACGGTTACAGAAAGATCAATGTTGGAGGCCTGACTTAAAATGTTTTGTGACTTTCCAGTGCATCCTGACCCACCAATTGGGCTGAACTGGACTCTACTGAATGTGAGTCGCTCAGGGTTGCACTTTGACGTCCTTGTGTGCTGGGCTCCCCCTCCATCAGCAGATGTGCAGATGGGCTGGATGAGCCTGGTGTACCAGCTTCATTACCGGGTCAGGAATGCCTCCCACTGGGAGATGGTATGTTGCTAGCACCTCATACTGGAGAAGAATAAAGGAAGGATGGTTTATGAAAGGTTTAGCATAACCTTGATAAAAAAGTGCTACATTAATTTTCAATAATTCAGCTGTCATGAGTCTATAAACTCTACTTCCATACCACATTTACCACATTACCACATTTTCATCCCTAAAACTGTTTGTAGGCAATTATTAAAGTAACAATATTGTGTGTGGGAGAGACTCATTTTGATTATAAGCCATAAACATGTTCTTACTTTAAAGATGATGTAGAAAAGTGATATATATAACTAAAATGTGGTCAACAAACTTGGGACTATTTATTTATATATTTGTTGTTAAGAGCAACTCTCAATGTCTCAATGTCAAAGCAAGCATGAATGTGCAAATGCTGCCTAAATAATATATTCATATTAATATATTAAAACTAACCTTGGTTACACTTTATTTTACTGTATCCTTGTTAAAGTGTAATTATACATTTAAGTACTGCGTAATATTAATTAACTACATGTACTTACTATATGGTTAGGGTTAGGATGAGGGTTTGGTTTAGGGTTAGATGCATGTAATTATGCATAATTTATTGTTATTAGTAACATGTAACATGTAAAAAGGGCACCGTAAAATAAAGTGTTAACTTAACCTTTAACATTTTTATCAGTCAATGAGGATTAAATATTCAGCAGTGCTGTGGCATAAAATAATGTAAACCTAGAGAATCCATCTTTAAAAGTAAGTCTGTGGAGTTCATCAGACCATCACAGAACATTCTGAGGCTGTTTTGATCTTCCTGTCTCGATGGACTCCCAGGCATTGCAGTGGAGGAAATTGGCTATCCCACCCTATTTATTGTATTCTGAGAAATACAAGTTTGTGTTGGAGACACATTATAAGCTAGTATTCATCTACTCTTTCTAAAAGGGTAACCACTGGTCCAGAGCAGTCATATATGTTCTGTAATTCAGGCTTGGTTCTGGGAGATCTTTGCATCTGGCAGGATCTTCAGGAGCTCTTTCGGTTTACACTCCCCAACAGCCATGTTCCCCCAGCCTGCCAAGCGGTCCTGCCCAGACTGAGCAGACACACGAAAAACCACATTGAGCCACATGTTAAATCACTGCCGTATGTTAGCAGGCCTGAACAGATCAGAGGGGAATGATTCACTGGTATAGTTAGTTATTCCCATAGGCCCTCTTCTGAGGTCACATATAAGTACATTCGCTTTTTGGTGTCCTCAAGAGCGTTTTAGTTATAAACTTTAAGGATTATTTTTAGTGAGGTTCTTGACAGTTATTCTCTTTGTGGGTCAAAATGTGTGCTAAAGCCAGATTAGTACAAAAGTGCAATGTTACAATACAAAGGAAGGCTTGGAGAAAAACAAATAAATAATATTGCTAAGAAAAGCCCCTCAAATGAAGATAAGTCATTCTGTTATTTCCATATCATTGGCCTACAGTCCCCTGTAATCCATTTTGCAATTTGTCGACTAAATTAACATTAAATCTGTTTACCATTTCAACACATTAAACTGACAGCCCTGAGAAAACGTACAGATCTTTTCACATACCCATTTGTCTCTCTGAGTAAATGTAATGGCTCACAAATGCTAGTTTATTGCTCAATCCCTTGGTTTGTTCTTTTCTTATTTACTTTTTCATCCTTTCTTATTGCAGCTGGACCTGGAGAGTGGCACACAGCAGTCAATCTACGGTTTGCATACTGACAAAGAGTATGAAGTCCGGGTGCGCTGCAAGATGCCAGCCTTTGACAACTTTGGCGAATTCAGTAACAGCATCATTGTGCATGTGGCACGGATACCAAGCAAAGGTTAGTTGACGCCAAGAACTTGACTTGTTGTTTGCACAAAGTGAAAGCAGCTGTGCAGGTGAACCATCATGAATCAGTTAAGCAAATTGGGTTTCCAGAAGCAGCTCTTCCATCCCTGATCTTGGCGGCCAGCAGACATCAGAAGTGGAGGAGACGCCCATTCAAACGCAACCCGCTGTGCCCATGGACATGGACTTTTATGCCCAAGTAAGTGATTTCACACCAGCAGGAGGAGTGGTGCTTTCACCTGGACAACTGAACAGCTCTCCGGAGAAAAAGAAGGAAGAAGAGAATGAAAAGAAGATACAATTCCAGTTGCTTTCTGATGGAGCCTACACCTCAGAGAACACAGCCCGGATGCTTTCTGCCGACGTGCCACCCAGCCCTGGTCCTGAGCAGGGGTACCAACCATTCCCAACCCAAGCCATTGAGTGGAACCCCTGGAATGGCGAGTACCTGGTGTCCGCCAGTGATTCCCAGACACCGTGCCTGGTTCCTGAAGCTCCTCCAGCCCCCATACTGCCACCAGTATCAGACTATACTGTAGTGCAGGAAGTAGACGCCCAGCACAGCCTCCTCCTGAATCCTCCTTCCTCACAGCCCGCGATATGCCCTCACAGCCCAAACAAACATCTCCCTGCAATGCCAACCATGCCCATTGGGTACCTCACCCCAGACCTTCTGGGAAACCTGAACCCATGAAGGGACTAAAAAGCACAAAGTTCATGGTCTTGTTGTACCTTCTCGCTGCTGGAAACCAAAGTTGCATGAATCGCGTGACACGTGATGGAAATTCCATTTTGTTTGGGAATTCTGCACATGAATTTTCTTTGCTGTATGCGATAAAATGGAATAAGCTGAAAGCGTTTCTTTTCTGTCAGCTGTTGCAGTAGTGCTACGCTAGCTCACCGAGAGATTTTAAATGTGCTTTCGATTTACAATCAGAAACAGCTGGTTACATGCAAAAAAAATAAAATCACTACAGATATATGCTCGATGGCTGTGTCTGAGAACCATTTTGAAAATGTGTTTATCTTATTACAAAGATGCAGATCTAGAGCTACTGTGGCACTGGGATGAAGAGTTGACTAAATGAATTCAAACATATCTTTATACAAAATTGTTTACACACAGGTGGAAGACGAATCACTTTATTCTGATTACATCAACCCAGATTTGCTCATATATGGTATATTAAATATATTCCATTGCATCCTATCAAGGTTCCTGAATTATTTAGTTTTGTGGACGAGTCAATATTTTTTCTCAAATCTCCACACAGCCTTGATCTTAAGGAAACCTGCTTCCCCAGATTTATGGGAGCCTTTCTGAGCACTGCATCCTTTCTGCACATTTTATCTTCTGCCATAGCCAGATGGATAAACTCAGCAAATTAACTTTTTCAATATGCTAAAACACTAAAAATGGGGTTGTGGCGCAGCTGTGTATTTTAGCATCACTATATATGACTGTAATATTTGAGATCATTACTAGAAAATGTTGAGACAAGTTTTTGTAATGATATTAGCCCACTGAACAAGGTGTTACCTTGTTCAAAAAGTGAAAAATGAACTTTTTATTTGTATTAATGTATCCAGGGGAAATGTCAAAAACAAAGTGCTTGTAGAGACTTTGCTGTACAATGCAGACTGTATGGCAAGTTTTCTTATATGTTATCTTTGTACATGTAGCGGTTTTATATTGATGAAAACACTATAAATGTATACATGCATTTACAATGGGAGTTACACTACAGAATAGCTGGGAAAGATGTGCCAATATTTGGACTTGTTTAATTAGACAAAGACTTGCCATTAAATAAGGCTACAATTCTTGCCTGGACAATTAATTCAGTGATGTCCTCTAGAAACAGCATATTCTTGTGCACCATGGCCTCTACACGGGGACAAAAGCTGCTTTTAACTAGAGCTATTTTATGAAATCATGCATTATAATAGAAGAAATAATAACTGGAGATTCTTTTTGTATTTACAACCATAGACTGTTAAGATTTGTCAAGCCACATATTGGAAACCCAGTTGGTGAATTTCTCACAGATGTAATTCTATGCTCTTGATAAGTTTGTACAGAAAAATTATTGCTTGTTAAGTTGTATACAGTAGATGAGCTTATATTGAGCACTTTGTGACTCTTAAATGTTCTCTGTTTTTAGAGAAACACAGTGGAGGTATATGATGGTGAAGAAGGAGCCTTTGGTTTACAGCTTAATTGGTCCCAGGTTTGCCTATGATGCTTGAATACTGGGTCCTAACTTGTTTTAGGTGTCTGTTGTAGTTACAGTGCCTTCCAAAAGTGTTTGATTTTATTCTGATTTTGAGTTAAATGTATTTCTGCCCCAACCTTTTACAAGTATACTAAAGGTATTCAGACAGTCTCACAAACCATTTCTTGCTCAATGAATTGCTCTTAATTCTTAATATTGCATATGCCAACAGTAGCTAAAGAAATAGTTCAACCAAAAATGACAATTCTGTCTATTTTAAACATTCTTCATGCACATTTTAGTCTCATAATTTACAAAGACAGTGAACCACGATTTTGAAAAAGTCATCAATACGACTGCTGCTCTATATTCTCAGTCATTTGAAAGCTTTGTGTGATGAACAAATGAAAATTGAAGCTGTTATTCTGTGATAATCTTCAGCTCCATTAGACTGGGTCATAAAATCAGTGAGTTGAATGATTCAGGAATGACTTTAGTCCAATTTGTAAATCTAATCAAATCCTATTTTGTTTACTGAAACAGACTCACAAGAACAATTTGTTCACTTATCCAGTCTTTGAGTTCAACTCGCCGACTTACTGATTTGGTCTCTTCAGTTCTTGAGATCCAGACACTTGTAGCAGGACGCATACGATTACTTTTGTTGTCATTTTCGGAGCTTGATCAACCTAGTCACTATGAACCGATATAGTATAGGAAATAGCAATGAGAAAATTTACCAGAAGTTCCCTTGTTGTGTTCCATGAAAAAATTAAATAAATAACAGCATACAGGTTAAGAACAACATGAGTGTGAGTAAATAATATTCAGAATATTCAGAATATTCAGTTTTGAATGAACTGATCTTCATATAATTTGCTATTTACAGACTAGGCTCACAGAACTAGGCTGATCTTTCGCTGCTGATGTTCTTCCAGATCTGTACAGATGCCATGAGCAGAACCTGCTTGTAGTGCAGCCTTTGTGGCCAGTTTTTTCCCTTAGTATGTGAAAGGTCTAAAATGTGCTGTTACTTTCAACCTGCACGTAGTTTAACATTTCTTTAGGTTCCTGCTAGTCCACACGTAAATTCTGGAGTTATTTTATCATCTCATATCCAGTTTTGTTTAAATACAAAACATCTTTAAATTGCTTTTGGAAGGCAGTGTATGTGCTTTAATAACTCAGGCTAATCAAATGTATTGTTTGATTTAATAATTTATTTAGTACAATTTGAGTGTTTCGTTGTACCGCAGTAGAACGAAGTGCCATAATTATGATGCTTAGCCTTTGTTATTGTGCGAACACACCGATACACCTAAGACAAATGGGACCAAAAACTGTTGAACAATGAGCCAGAGGGGAGGCTCACTTGATGCTGAAACTCGTACTAGAGATATATGTAGTGTAGATATTGGTGTAGAGAAAACAGAAGAACAGGTACAGAAGAAAGTATTTAGCTTTTTCTTATTTTGAACTTGAGCTGGAGAAAAAAAAGTTAAAATATTTACTTTTATATTATGACATGCAGAAATAAAGTATTTTATATAATATATATTATATATACAATATGTATAATATATATATATATATATATTTCCGATTTAATAGACACATTTTTAATGGCCTACACTCTATGTGCCTCCACACACACAGAACAGGACGTAAGCTAAATCAGTAAGTTTAAAACATAGATGAGGAGTAATGATTTCACTTGTGAAGTCCTGCACATGTTTATTATATGTATATATGATTAATAGTGGGCCTATACATGATGTAGTCAATCTTAACACTGTGCTAAGCAATGTGCCATTCTTTTATATATAAAGATATTGCCTTATTGAGAAATATCAAGTATTATACAACTCTTCTGCTGCTGCCATTGCTGTGAAACCAGCATGTTCATGTTTTAATGGAAATGTCTTAAGCTGTCATGATATGTGGTGTACGGTATGCATTTTAGCTTCTGCTGTTTGTTGCGTTCCTGCAGTGCTGCTCCTCTCTCTTTCCTTCTCATGTAGCATTTTCCTATGAATCTCTGTCTTTTGCAAAATTCTTAAAATGCATTGGCAGTTAAATGCCTGTTTGTACATGCAAGTTGACAAATGTACATGATATATAGACATGCTAGTACATTTAATCTAGATATTTTTGGAGCAGTGTATTTGCCTTATGGATGCACACCGCTGAGCATTACTAAGACATTATAAAGAACTTGATTCAGGTTTGTTATTGAAACATTTGTACGGTTTGCTATTGGAATTGGTTGAATTTGTCATACCTCAAATGATCGTAATTTTCTGCATTTGCTTTGTTCTGTTTTCTTCAATTTAATAAAGATCGCTTCAAACTATTAGATTATCTGTGGCCGTATGCTGTTGGTTGTTTCATGTTTTATTTAAAGACATGGACTGTTAAGTTAATCTTGGTGCAACTAATATTAGTGTATTGTTCTGGCTGAATGTGTGTACTGTGCGCTTGGGTATTACTGAGAAAATATATGTTCCAGCTTTTCAGGCATCATTTCCCTCAAGGTGAGTACAGACTGGTAAAAAATAAACAGAAATAGCCCTGAACATAAGATTGATTGAGAACAACAACTGAAAAAAGCCTCCAGCATGTTAACAGAATTCATTTTTAAGGAAGCAATAGAAGGAAAAAGTGTTAGACTTGCATTATGGGCATCCAAGAGTCTACATTTATAAAGCAATATACCATAAAAATGAGTTCTACTAAACTTATACTCCCCAATATTGATACAGAAGAGGAACAGTGTAGTGCCTTTGTAGTGCCTTTCTACCTCTGTAAAGAACAGCAGGAAATACCAGGAAATAAATGTATGAAAATATAAATTATTAACATTTTATTTTAGAAATTATAAAATAAAATAAAAATAATCACATAAATAATTCAATTCATGTATTGTATAAATGATAATCTAGAAATATAAATTATTTAAAATATAAATAATTGTATTCAGTAGGAATGCATTAAACTTACCAAATGTGACAAAGACATTTATAGTATTACAAAAAATGCTGTTTTTTAAACTTTCGGTTCATCAAAGAATCCTGAAAAATTGTCTCACGGTTTCCACAAAAATATTAAGCAGCTGTTTTCAACATTGATAATAATAAGAAATGTTCCTTTAACACCAAAGCAGCATGTTCGAATGATTTCTGAAAGATCATATGGCACTGAAGACTGGAGTAATGACTGCTAAGAATTCAGCTTTTTTATTTATATGTTTCTATTTCAAAAGCATTTCTACTTCCAGATGTTTCTTTATTAATAATGTTTCTCCTAACAATATATGTATAATATTAATATGATACATATTCTTTACTATTTCTGTGGTCTGCCACACTGTTAATGGACATGACACTTATAATATGAATAAATGAATCATCTTACTTGCACAAAGGTAATATCCAGTTCATGCAAATCAAGAAGTTGTCTTCATTCTTATCACACAGGCTTGTAATGGAAAACAGGAACAAACTGTAACCTACAGCACAAGGGGTCCATTAGTATGATGTTGGCGTGATTACTAACTTAAC